TTTTTTTTTTTTTTTTTTTTTTTTTACAGAAGCGACCGGACGTTGGCTTGCCCGACCCCCAAAAGTCGCCTCGCGTTAACAGCCGCGACTTCGAAAAAACAACAGGGAGGCACTGGTGGTTTAAACTCGCTGGCCAAGACCAGCGGGATACCTGCTGGTATTTGGGATTTATGTGTGCGAAGCTCTTCCTCTGATTGGCTGAGCTCAAGGCGTACATGCAGAATATGCATATGCTGCGTAGCCGCCATCTGATTGAGCGCAGTCCCTCGCTCAGTCCCACGCTCAAAGCCGCTCGAGCGGTGTTCGAGCGGGCATGAGAACATTTGTTTCTCGGGTGACAAATAATCAAAAATTTACATATACCTGCTGACGGGTCGGCGAAACTCGGACGAAACAGTTTGTCACAGCCCCTGGTTTGTTGTCCTCTTCTCCCTCTCTGCCTACGGTTTACCGGGCAGCTCTGTTCAACAATATATAAGGTTGAAGATATTTTCGAGATCTAATTGCCAGCCACCGACGCTTTGGATGCATCATGACAAACACCCCATTCCTACTCATTCGGAGTTTTGGCGCATGGCCAGCGGTGCATCTAGGCCCTGAGCATTTGCGGCCACTGCTTAAACACCGGTACTTAGCCCAGCTATTGATGCCGAGCCGAAATATGTCCTGCACGTCAAGCTCTGACGCGCCTGGAGGGAATGGGAACCCGTAGGGGACATTTTTCGTATGGCACAGGTACCGCGTCTTTCGTATGGCACAGGTACCGCGTCTTACGCTGGACCTGCCGCCAACAACCGGAACAAAATCATGCAGTGTTTCCACTCGTGCAGCATTGCCAGCCTGGCCAAAAGTGCAGTCAGATGCATTCGCAAAAGAGCAGCACGAGGCAAAAAAGAAGGAAACACCAAGGGCTTGATTGCTCCCTGCCACTCACGCGGGAGTTCACGTCAGAAAAGACGTAAAAAAGAAGAAACTGATCCCTCAGCATAGTCAGAGGCCCGCCTCTCATGGCAAGCCTTGAGGAAAACAGCCGTAATGGTTGGGCTTCCCTCCACTACTTCCCACATACCCACACGACAAAGACCTTGAAATGTGCTTTTACATGTTCTAGCGGAGGATTCAGTCTCATTTTGCACATTTGGAGAGCAGGGAAGCAATGCCCTTGATTTGCCCTGAGGCTCGCTCCACTACTCTCCAAATGACAATGTGCGAAATGAGACTGAATCCTCCTCTAGAACATGGAAACGTACAATTGTGGTGTGGGCATGTGGGAAGTAGTGGAGAAAGGGGCAACCTATGCTTCCTCCAGTTCTGCCATTACTGGCGGGCCTCTGACAACCAACCTATCCCTCAGCTACAATACAGTTATGACCAGATTACCCCTTCCACTTTCTTTTGGAGGACTCATTTTGCACATTTGGAAATTGGTGCAACAATCTGGTAGGCGAGTCTGCAGGGCGTTTTCTTTCCTTCTGCCCACCGAGTGGCGGGTACATCTTTGTTTTAGTTTTTTCTTTTTCACAGCACTTCTCCGTTTCGTTTGTTTTTGTTTTCTTTTACTTGTCTGGGCAATACTGCGGCCGTGCATGTAGACACACATGCCCACTTGCCCTTTTCCTTAGGCCCTACAGCATCTTCTTCCATTGCACTTCCGGGCCTTGCCCAACCCGTGGAAGTTGCGGGGCATTAACGACATCGACCCGCGGCTGATGTATTTGGCAAGTACTGGTGGTTTAACATGTCCACCATGAGCCAGGCAAGCTCACCTGGGAAGATACTCGCCATGTCTTGTCTTTCATGCATGTCGAGAACAGTGGAGAGAAGCCCCAATTCTGCCCTCGACATTTCTTTACAGCCCAGGTTGTTGTAGCGGTCGGGGATCGACTAAGGGCAGGTGCTGTCGTCAGAGCGCTAGAGCGCTGGAACGGAAGCTTCCCAATACGCAAGCCCCAGTGATTGACGCCACAGAAATACCACTGCACGGGGATATTCCGCCCCCCGGAGAACTTCCGATTCTGCCCTTGGCATTGATGGAAGGAAAGAAGACCATTCAATTTCATGAACTGAGTGATTGACACCACTCAGTTCACCGGAGTGTGAGGATTTGTTTTTTTTTTTTACAAGTGCCCGTCAGAGCCTACTAGGGGGTGCGGTAGAGGACCAGCCTCCCCTAGCGAGACCAGCTCCCAGCCGCTCCATGTATTGGGTGGGGAGCTTCACCAACTGGAAAACAGGCCCAGCGTACCCATTTTAACATCATCGTTGAACATCATAATACATCATTGAACATCGTTTGAATGGTGCTTCAGCATCTCGTGGCTAAGTCTCACAATGGGGAGAGGCCCCTTCAGGATTGTGTTAATCATCACAGGAACCAAATTCTACAACCATCAAGTTAGGTGTCCAGCTGTCGCTGAAATTGGGCATCGCTCCACCACTTACCACATGCACAAAAGAGACAAAAAATGTGGCAATGTCTCTTGGGAACGATTCATTCTAAGTTTGCACATTTTGTCAGTAGCACAGCGCGGCCCATCATCCCTTGTGCCCCAGCATGCATAAATCCAACAAATGGACGAATTTGAGGACAGACAGAATGCGGACTACATCAAATTAGGTGCCCTGAGATTATCCCTCGTCCCACGGTTCACATCATAGGAGACCACAACAGAGAGGCCACAGACGACAGAAAGGAGAGAAGGGAGTTGAGCAAACAGAACAACTGACAGACACAGACATCATGACACCAGCTGGACAGACGACATGGGAGTTGTGTCAGTAGCCTACGCAAACCTCTCTCTCTCTCTCTCTCTCTCTCTCTCTCTCTCTCTCTCAAGTGGATTTAGGAATGGTAAAACAGAGAGATAATGACACCAGCTGTGGAGAGTTGTGTGAGTAGGCTATGCAAGCAAAAGGGACACCCTACGTGCCCCCAGCACTCGGGTTTAGGGTCCCTTTTTCCCCCGCATAACATATTCATTTTTCTCCCACAGGTTGGGCCAGCAAAGTCCAAAAGATCCAGTGATTTGATCAATTGTGCATAAGCGAAGTCAAACAGGTTCGAAAACCTCCAGTCAAAACCATAGTTGGGCCAGCAAAGTCCAAAAGATCCAGTGATTTGATCAATTGTGCATAAGCGAAGTCAAACAGGTTCGAAAACCTCCAGTCAAAACCATAAATATTTAATAAGTTCGAAAGAATGGAGGGAGCCGACAAAGAAAAACCAAAAAAAAAAAAAAAAAGTTCCACTTCACGAAACCAATCCATTGGTACTCGTTACGATTAATATACAAAAGCCACATCAACCTACAGTCAACCTAAACATTCAGTGATCCGCACCCTGAGTTATTTTGTACACTGCACTGTGCGTTCAGGTAGATGTAGACTCCAGCATTCACGACCTGTAGGCTAGCTTCCTACACATACCCTCGAAAAAACAAGCAGCACAAAAAGACAGCGTCCCCACCCGCCATACGTTTATCTCTAAACAACCATCTAGGTGCTACGAGTCCCAACCCTAAAACCTATAATGTACAGCCCCCAAGTAGTAGACTTCCCTAGCTACGGTGGCAGCACGCACAGCTCCGGCCAACTTAACTCTCTCCTCTACTTCCATAAACCGTTGCCACCCGAAAGTATCACTCCGATCCTGCACAGCATACACATCACACAAGGACCACCAACAAGGACCGTGTAAGCAACCGCACTAGTGTGCATTATGATAACCCAGCAGCTGCTGCTCGGATTATACTTCAAATTTCCCTTTCATATTGCCAATGAGCAAATTGCAGAAATACCGGTTCGCAAACGTATCATAGCAACTTTACCGGTCTGCACAGGTATGGTGACAAACGAACACGTACGCAAGCAACCAGCTTAAAGTTTGGGCAAACTGCAGAAATACCGGTTTCAAAACGTATCGTAGCAACTTCACCAGTCTGTGCAGGTATGGTGGTTACACACAAACACATTTGGGAGCAGCCCAGCCTCTTTTGAGGTGTATCCATGCAGAAATACCGGTCCGTGACGTTTCAGTTGCAAATATACTGTGTTGTACCTGGTTTTGCAACAGAGGACCTGTTTGCCTTGCTTCAGGCCAAGCCGACATGACCCCTGTTACGGTACATCTGTGCACAGAAACCTCTGAAAAACGGGATTAAACATTTCTGCAAGTTCACCAGTATATTTGCCAGCATACGTGCACGGGCCGGTAATGTTCCCACAACACGTTCTCAAACTAGTATTTCTGCAATTTGCCATTTTGCTTCTTCTATTTCTCTCTTCTTGTTCTTCTTCTTCTCCTACTCCTCCTCCCTTTTCGTTTCTTTTCACCCGTTACGTAGTGTGTTCATACACTAACGAGCAGCATGACTGAATGATGACTGTATGCAATTGAGAGTGCTGTTGTGGTAGCATACACATCACAAAACCACCACCAGCAAGGAGTGTGTAAGCAAAAACACCGAAGTGACAAGTGAAGAGTGCCATTGTGCTATCTGGTAAGGTGGAGGGCAACCGACTCACAAGAAGGTGGCTACTGAGGGGGTAAGTCCTGCCGAGGGGGGGATCGTGGTGTGATGGTGGTTTGGTGAATAGGGTTTTTCCTTCCCCTTTCTCATTATATATATATGGCGGTGCTTCTCAAGTTCTTTTTTCATCAGACAGAGACTCCGAGAGAGAGTGAGAGAGAGAGAGAGAGAGAGAGAGAGAGAGAGAGAGAGAGTGTGTGTGTGTGTGTGAGAGAGAGAGAGAGAGAGAGAGAGACAGTGCGTGTATTCGTGTGCGTGCGTGTGTGTGTGTGTGTATGTGTGTACGCCCAGCACATCATGGCTAATTTTTCAGCCCCCAATTACTGGAAGTACTGATGGCTTAACAAGTTGCAGTCTTTGGGTTTTCTTCAGATCATTCAGGAGGTTTTGCACAAAGACCTTCAGAAAAAAAAAAAAAAAAAAAAAAAAAAAAAAAAAAAAAAAAAAAAAACACCCCGAGTGTCTGGCCCAGTGGTTAGGGCACCGGTTGGGACAGTTCATAGAATCAGTAACTTAGTAGGAGATAGATAATAATTGTTCAGAATTTCTCAGCCCAAGCCAAGTAACGGCCCGAGTAACTATCTGATTTTCCCAATCTGGTAATGTTCTCAAGGGTTGCTGGGCCTGATTCCCAGAACGTGAATCTCCCCACCAAGCGATTGGACCAAAAGAAATATAAAAATAAAAATAAAAATCAAGGTGCTCGTTAATTGGTCTTTAGACCCTTCAGTTCATAGAATACGCAGTAGTTGTAGGAGATTGTTCACAGAATTTTTCAGCCACAGACAGGTAATGGCCCCAGCAACTATTAGAATTTTCTCTTTTTTGTCTTTTTTTTGTTTTTAACCACCACTACCTTGGGACTGCGAGCCTTAAATTCAAATTCGGCCATAACGCGCCGTCGATGAAAAATATCAACAGCGGTGTCACGGCTACTTTTCAGGAGTAGGCTATGGACGCCTGCGGCCGACATATAGGAAAGGTAGCCCTGGTTTAAGAGAACAACCCGACCGGATGCTATGGGTGCTGATAACGAGCAGGCACCTCTCGCACAGTCGGGAAGGCTCCATCTATTGGTGGGGAGGAGCACCTGCTGGAAAGCATGTCCAGCGTCCCTGAACCTTGTTGTTGTTTGTGTGAACAGACATGCCATTGTAATGACAGCAACCTACTGGGCTCACCTACTGAGGATAAAGTTTGGCAGGTAGAACTACACAGCAGCCTGAGTTGCTTGCCGACACGACAGCCACAGGTAAGTGATAGTATACTCCGATCTCCTGGCTGCTGCTGGGAGGGTTGGTAACCGGTTCTACGTAATGTTCTGCTACACCCCATTCATCCTGTTGTCGTAATTGTTCACTTGAACAGCAATGTACTTGCAGTTACAGCAAGCTGCAAGGATCAATCAATCAGTCAACCAATCAATCAATCAATCAACCAACCAACCAATCAATCAACCAATCAACCAATCAATCACTCAACCAACCAATTAATCAATCAATCAATCAATCATTTTTATTTTTATTTTTATACACTCAGGACAAATATATGTATATATAGCCTCCTGATGAGTCGGTGAAACTCCGACGAAACAGTTTGCCACAGCCCCTCATTTGTTGTCCTCTTCTCACTCTCTGCCTACGTTTACCGGGCAGCGCTGTTTGACTATATATCTTTCTCAACCAATCAATCAATCAACCAACCAACCAATCAATCAATCAATCAATCAATCTATCTATTGTTATTTTATTTATTTTTACCAAAAAACTCCCATGTAATGCTAGTGGTGCTGATAAGAGCAGACACCACTAGCACTCGGGGGGGCTCCATCTATTTGGTGGGGAGCATCACCTGCTGGAAAACGGGTCCAGCGTCCCATTACAGGATTAAAAAAACGAATGAATACAGTCTGGATCAAGAGGAGATAACTGTGAACCCTGCCAGCATTAATTAATACACGCAGGAAAAATACTTGCAAGTGCACGTCGTGCGCAAGTTTCCCGACGTCCGGCGCACGGGTCCCACGTCCATTACAGGATGAAAAAAACCGAATGAATACAGTCTGGATCAAGAGGAGATAACTGTGAACCCTGCCAGCATTAATTAATACACCCAGGAAAAATATATATATATCATACTTGCAAGCGCACGTCGTGCGCAAGTTTCCCGACATCCGGCGCACGGGCCCGACCGTTCCCACGCGGTGCACGAGGTTTGCAGGGAACGGCCCACAGGTGTCGGATCTGTCGATTTGTGCGTATCATCCTTGTGCAGAGGTCGTGCTAATCTTCTCTGTATCGTTCCCATCCCTCCGTTCTTCTCCTCCTCCAGGTCGTCCTCCTCCCCTTCCTTGTCGCCCTCGTCGTTCACGACCTCCTCTCCCACCCAGGTAATGTACTAATGAATCTATCGAGGTTTTTTTTTTTTTCAACCTTTTCTCCTTGTGTGCGTATCATCCTTGCGCAGAGGTTGCGCAGAGGTCATGCTAATCTTCTCTGTATCGTTACCATCCCTCCGTTTCGTCTCCTCCTCCAGGTCGTCCTCCTCCCCTTCCTCGCCGCCCTCGTCATTCACGACCTCCTCCTCTCCCACCCAGGTAATGAACTAATGAATCTATCGAGCTTTTTTTTTTTTTCAACCTTTTCTCGATTTGTGCGTGTCATCCTTTCGCAGAGGTCGTGCTCATCTTCTCTGTATCATTCCCAAAGATTGAGAACGACACATAGAAGATTAGCACGACCTCTGCGCAAGGATGACACGCACAAATCAATAAAAGGTTAAAAAAAAAAAAAGCTCACGAAACTGAGGGATGATTGGGATCGATACAGAGAAGATTAGCACAACCTCTGCGCAAGGATGACACGGGCTCATCGTCCTCCACCTCCCCTTCATCTGCGTGCTTCTCCTCCTTCCGCTCGTCATCCTCCTCCCCTTCCACGCCATCCACCTCCTCCTCCTCCTCTCCCACCTAGGTATCAAAATTTCAAAAACAATCCAATCTATCGAGCTTTTCTTTTTTTTTGGACCTTTTCTCGAATTGTGTGTCATCCTTGTGTCAGGGTCATGCTAATCATCTCTGTGTCGTTCCCATTGCGCTGCGGACCAGGGAGACGGGGGCATGGGTGGATGGCAGGGATGGTGGAAGCAGGAGGCAGCATCGGCGAGCGCGTCCTGGCGAGGGGGACGGTGGCGGGAAACATACCGCGGAGGTAGACATTGCGCCTGCTCCGAAGCGGGGGAGAGGTCGACCGAGCAACAAGGAGAAGGCAGAAAGAAAAGCAGCATAGAAAGCTGTGAAGAAAGCCTGCATCTGCAAAGAAAAAGAGTTATGCTGCGAAGAAAAAAGCAGCAGCAGCAAAGAAAAAGGGGAAAGTCATGCTTTTAGACTTCAACAGCCTGAACGGAAACAGTTCACATATTATAAAACGAATCGTAGTCAACATATGTCAGCATCAAGGATTGACTATTTTCTCATATCACAAGACACTGTGGGAACGGTACACTCGGTGGGAGTAGGGGACTTACCATACTGTACGTGTCTAGATCATAAACCTATATTTCTTAACTTTATTATGGACAAACATGTTCACAGAGGTAGGAGCTTCTATAAGGTGAATAATTCATTATTAAGAACTAAGGAATTAAGGGAAGCTTTACTGAATGTCTGCCTAATACACAACCCGTGCACACATTCATTTGCGGACCTGATAGAAGCTCTGTCATCAGCAACGGCAGTAGTAGCCAGACAGCCGGCAGCAAGGCGGGTGGCAAGAGAAATGGAACTACAATTAACAACCCGCGTTCGGAGATGTATGAGAAATAACCCGCGTTCGGAGATTGGAAGGAAGCATTGTGGATAGCGGAAAAGAATCTAATTAATAACCCCCGTTCGGAGATGTATGAGAAAATAATACAAGCAAGAAATGAATTGGGGGATTGGGAGAGATGAAGAGCTAGAGGTCTGCAAATGAGTGCGAGAGTGAAAGAATGGAAGGAAGAGGAAAGAATGACAAAATAATTCTTCCAAAAGATTAAAGCAAGAGGAAGAAACAAGCTAATCGAGAAGCTGGAGGATCCCTAAGGACTGGTCTCGGATCCGGAAGGGATGCTATCGGTGGCC